TTCGAGATACAGGGTGTCAAAAGTGAAGTCTTAATGACACTCTTTTGTAAATCTTTTCTAAGCGGTTAAAGATATCTAAATGAAATTTAGTAAACCTTTTCACGCTCTATTTGATGGACTAAACATTAGTTTTTGATTATCTTCATAAGTGGGGAAATCAGGGTAAAAAATTTTTTTTTATTGACAGTTTTTACCATTTTTGACTATAAAATTTGGAAAACCAATATTTTCTTTATAATAAAGCTACTTTGTTTCATCTCGCTAGGACGCACCATTTTCAAGAAAAAAGCATTTGAAAATTTTATAAGTTGATGTTATCTTATTCGAAAGTGTAAACAATAATTAGTAGGCCTGTGAAATCAGAAATTTTATTTTTTTTACTTTGGAAAACCGGTGACTCGGGTGACTAAAGAAATTTTAGAAAATATTTTCAAAATTGTGCCATCAGGACTTCACTTGTAACACCCTGTATCTCGAAACCGAAACGTTTTCGGACCTATGTTTATATGAACTTTTATTTCTATTTTAGGATGTAGATTACGCTGTTAAAATATGACCGTCTAATTTCGGGACACCCTGTATATGCCTATATATAAAAACAAAGTTGACCTTGAAAATACCTTAAAAATACCTTAAAAGTCATGAGATGAGAAAATTAAAAAACTGATTTTTGTAAATTTTACGAATTTAAGTGACTTTTACTTACAACTTTTTTCCAAGTATACTAGATAAATAGTAAATTAAAAGTTGTTATATATCTGGGTGGCACAAAATTGATAGAAAACATTTGATCGTATACATTTAACGAAAAAACATTTTATCGAATAATTTTAATCGCTTCAGGGTGCACAGGTTAGGTAAATTATTTGTAGACGAAAAATAAATCAAAACTCATATGTGGATAGACGTAAATGCAATAAAATGAATTTAGCTCAAAGCCAATATCACCAGTGTTGTTCCTAGTTGTACAATTGTACAAAAAGTTGTACAATCAGTTATGCGGTTGTACGCATTTTTGAAAAAAGACAGAAATGTTGTACAATTTGAATTGCTAAATATTTTTGTAAGTACACCGTTTTACATCTAAAATATATTTTAAACTGGAAAAAAGAAGAAATTTAAGCATGGGGAAAAAGTAGGCCATAGTCTGTCAATAAAAAAAAAGAAGATTAATTAGTGGTTGTACAATCGAACGTAAAAGTGTACAATTTTGACACTGAAAGTTGTACAATTCAAAAATCCCTAGGATCAACACTGAATATCACACAAAATATAACGACCGTCTCCCCTTCAAAAAACTACTCCTTTGGCTAATACCGCAACAGGCATTGAATTACATCCGAAGGAAAGACAGCAGAGATAAAAAATTAATTTTCAGCACTCTCTACTTTGATTTTGCTCACCAAGGAGAACATCATTCTTGGACCGGTTTCGTCCTTATTAGGACTCCTCAGCAAGAAATAGATAGGTTCTCAATTCCAGTCTCTAATGGAATTAACAAATGCTACACATTTCACCAGTATACCATAAAATTGGTTATGAAGAGAATAAGAATTCAAGTAGTGAAATGGTGTCGCCATCTGTTCTTAGTAAGCAAACTCAAAATGCGCTGTGGTACCCAGTTAGGAAACTAGGTGGAACCAAAAAGCACCAGGCGGGCAATTTGTAGACGAAAAATAAATTAAAACTCAAATGTGGATAGACGTAAATGCAATAAAATGAATTTAGCTTAAAGCCAATATCACACAAAATATAACGGCCGTCTCCCCTTCAAAAAACAACTACTCTTCTATCTCTGCTGTCTTTCCTTCGGATGTAATTCAATGCCTGTTGCGGTATTAGCCAAAGGAGTAGTTGTTTTTTGAAAGGGAAGCGGTCGTTATATTTTGTGTGATATTGGCTTTGAGCTAAATTCATTTTATTGCATTTACGTCTATCCACATTTAAATTATTTTTTGTCTACCAATTGCCCGCCTGGTGCTTTTTGGTTCCACCTAGTTTCCTAACTGGGTACCACAGCGCATTTTGAGTTTGCTTACTAAGAACAGATGGCGACACTATTTCACTACTTGAATTCTTATTCTCTTCATAACCAATTTTATGGTATACTGGTGAAATGTGTAGCATTTGTTTATTCCATTAGAGACTGGAATTGAGAACCTATCTATTTCTTGCTGAGGAGTCCTAATAAGGACGAAACCGGTCCAAGAATGATGTTCTCCTTGGTGAGCAAAATCAAAGTAGAGAGTGTTGAAAATTAATTTTCTATCTCTGCTGTCTTTCCTTCGGATGTAATTCAATGCCTGTTGCGGTATTAGCCAAAGGGAGTAGTTGTTTTTTGAAGGGGAGACGGTCGTTATATTTTGTGTGATATTGGCTTTGAGCTAAATTCATTTTATTGCATAAATTATTTGTGTTTAAAAAAAACTTTATTAATTTACAGTTTCTATATTAGAAAAAATTAATTTTTAATTTATATCTTAAACACCATGTAACTTCTTTGTTTGTACTTTTGTACATCGGTAAGTAAAATTCAATCAACCTATTTTTGACACCACCAAAATATATGGTATAATGTATAACCAATTTTTTCGGGACACTCTGTATACTAGTTTGTAAATAAAATAACTATTTAAAAAAATACTAAAATTTCAAATTTTATTGCCGATATAAATATATAATTTTTTATACATAAATGAATATATTACGTATTATATTGATAATTGTGTGAAATGTCATGTTAAAATATATTAATAAATCTGTTACTACGGTTCACATTAAGGACCCCCTTATGGAAAGTGGCGACCTGTTAAATGTCATAAATGTTTGATATGTTACAGTTCTCGGTCTCTTAAGCAATAGTGTCAATGGGACCATTCAAATGCTATGACTGGTTTTTGAGATACAGGGTGTTAAACTTAGGAATTTGCCAATTGTATAAAAATTACCAATCGATAAGTGAAAACAAACAAATATATTTTTAAAAATAAGGACGGTACGGTCAAAAACGAAATATATGTGGTATGCGGGGCTATTAAGTTGAAGCTTTTGTAACCTTATTTTTTATTGTCGTGAAGTAAAAAATGGCTTCATTTTAAAAAGTGTGACTTATCATGTTTTTACAATAAGTCCTACAATTATATGTGGTAAATACACAAAAGTACCGTAAAAATACTGCGTTTCACATTAATACTTATAAAAAATATATAAACCTATGTCAATATTTACGAATAACCCTATATAAATGGCATCTTATATATTCTGTATAATCATTGGATATAATAAATATAGCAATCATTTTTTTACACACTATTTTCACGTTCTAGAACAATAAAAGTAATTATCAAGAACATGTCCTTACTTTTTTGTGGCTCGCCCTGTAAAGGAAAATAAGTTTTGACCCCTTTTTATATTCGTAGAATGCCAAAATATGTTACAATAAGATTTGACAAGAAAAAATATAATTGATTAGCTTTTTCCTGAAATAACCATTATCAAATGTTATTCATTAAAATATATTTTCGATCAAATGTCATTCGACAAAATTTATGTTCGATCAAATTTCCAATTAGATCAAATGTTTTTCGATCAATTTTGTGCCACCCCATATATCTATTATTTTTCTTAACAATAATCTATAACGAAAAAACCACAATTACTTCTGTGGGGGCTTATACTAAATAAGAACCTACGGCACTGAGATGTAAAGCGTACAAAATGCATTCGTCTGATGTCAGTGTTTGTACAAGTATTCATTCTATCGGAAATGGAATCGTGAATTCAAAGTACTCTAAGAGAAAAATAAAGGAGAGTTGAGTTGTAAAAGTTCGCGAAGCCCCATTTGTCAAACAGGCGATATTTTTATTGAACTTGGACTTATTGATTATTGTGCCTCAAAATTTCTATGGACCAATAATGCTACAAATATGTTATTAAGAATATAAAAAAAATAAATTTTTCTCCTACCTTCACCTCATTTTTAGACAGAAAGTAAAAAAAAATAAGAAAGTATAGACTTTAAACAGATAGGAATAAAATTAAAGGAAATTAGTTGGAACTATAGGGATTTAGATAAGAAATATAGTCAGTTTGTCATGAAAATATTGTCAGTTTTAAATGAAGCTGCTCCTAAAAAACAGGTAAAAATACGTAAGCACTATAAAGAATTTTGAAACAAGACTGTAAGTAAAGTTACAAAGAAAAGAGATGAAAGTTTAAAAATATATAGAAATAATAAGACTAGGGAGAATTGGGAAAGTTACAGACAGAAACGAAATCGAGCTGAACAAACAATAAGAGAAAAAAAAAAACAGAAAGTACTTAGAAAAAAAAATTGATCCTAATAAAAATATTCCAATTGAAATGTGAAAGACGTTAAAAGAATTTATCCCAGATAACTCTCTAGTAAATAATTTTAATTCAATTGATATGCGAAATGAAAAATAAATATCTAACATTAATTTATTGCCTAACTGCTTAAATTTATTTTATATTAAAAGTATGATGAAAACTCTGATTTTGTTGTTTATGAATGTACCGCGAGAAAATGTAAAAACAAACGCATTAACAAGTGTAGTGCATTACTTTGCAAAGAAGTTGTTTGTAATAATCATGATCTATGTCAACGTTACTTATTTAGTCTAGAAAGTTGAACAAACAAAGAATTAGAGAAAAAGTCTAGAAACATAAATAAAAGAAGCCCGAAGGCAAATGAAGCAGCTAACTTAGGTAATAAAGACAGCAACGAAAAGCTCTGTGTACACCCAAATTGTTCATTTGACATATATAGTGCTTGTATCTGCTTAAAAGTCTTACTCTGTTTTGAACACTTTGAAGCAGATAATAACTGCCGCTCACACCAAGATTACAATCCAGAGAGCTTGTATCCAGTCGAGGGATCTCCAAAACAAGTTTCATTTAAAAAAGTCAGAAAAATAAATTCATATAAATTAACCAAAGAACTAAAGAATAAAGGACAGTGTTATGTAAGACCGAAAACAATGAAACTCATGCCACCAAAACAATTGGGACCTCGATGCAATGGGGAATTATATTCGAAACGTAATAAGAAATGTAGTCTCTTCAGTGATGGTAAAAGACAAGAGATTTTGCAAGATTTTTATTCAATGAGATCTTTACAGTTACAAAGAGAGTACATTGCAAGGTACATCAAACTGGAAGAAATCAAACAAAAAACTAAACAAAAAGAGGTATCTCGAAGAAATAAAACAATTATTACTTTTTTCCGTTAGGCGGCGACGAACTACCAGTTTGTAAAACATTTTTTATTAATACTCTCGTAACGAAAGCAAAGACTATAAGTACAACATTATCTAAACCTGTAGGAAAAGTAGTACATACATTTAATAAAATTTTTAATGAAGGCATGATTATGTATAATAACCTACCAAACGATATAAAAGATAGTGCATCTCTATACATATACTTTTAAGTACAGATTGAAGGAACCTTTTCTGGCTACATAAATGTTTTATTTAGTATTTGTGTATGTATGTATGTATGTATGTATGTATGTATGTATAGTAATATTAGTTGTATTAGTATTTTTAAAATTAGGTACTGAATATTAATTAGTTTTTGACTAATTATTGGGACATATATGAATAAGAAGTTAAAATAAAAAAACAGTTAACAATTAAAAATCGTTATTTTAACCATCTTAGACTTTTTGTATCTAATCCACTTGCAGACTTAAAAAATCTACGCTTTAATCCCTTTTTTGTCTTTTGAAACTAATCTACAAACTAAATTATACGTCTTTTTAAACAGCTCTACCTAACATTCATTTAAACACTTATGTACAATCAACTTTCTGAACCAGACGCGAAAATCAAGTTCGGCTGTTAGTTATATCCCGCTCGTGCTGCAAGTACGTACTATTTCAGGATTCAGTCCAGGTTTCGAGTTCTAATACCAGATGCTTAGCAATCTAGCCACTATTTACCGCCCCGTTAGGATATCCACTTATAGTTTAAAGTCGGGATCACGTTCTTGAGTTCGCACTCTTTCCTCGCATTTTTCCTTCATCTTATTGCTTTCTTTTAGCAGTTTTGCCCTTCAATTGATCGATGTCCTCGTTCGCTCGTATCGCAGTCGAGGACGACAGCTCTTCATGAAATTGGAAAAAGGGATGGATAATATTATGAAAAGGTGACAATCCGAATTTCGGATATTAGGTATATGTGAAGTTTGAAATGTAGTTTTTAGAAAAGGTGAATTGTTCAATATAAAATAAATATTTAAAAAAATATGATCCATTGTAACAACCCAAGCAGCAAAAAAATGCTCAAAAGAGTTATATAAATAACTCTATAACAATTTGTTATAAAAATTGTATATTTTAAAAGCATTTTATAGACGCTTATATGGCACTTATAAACACGGAAAAGGCGCAGGTTTATAAAATAAATGTGATTCTTAACAGTTTTATTATGGGGTATAAAAGTAAGTATAAAACTATTGGAACGATCAACTTACCTATAAAATAAGTTTGTTTCTGAAACTAGTATTATATAATAGTTTTATGAATATTATATAATTGTTTTATAGATATGGCTTACGACCATATTTAGAAACGACTTATAAAATTGTTGTTTAACAGTTGTATACTTATTGTATAATGCACAGAATTGATTTATACACAACATTTAGATTTTATGCAACACAATATAGTTTAACAGTTATGTAAATTAAAATTAAATTGTGGTGACAAAGACAGAACAGATTTTTAAGATGCTCAGAATAAACAAATATATAATGGCGATAGTTTTCATGTAATAAACTATATGCATATTATTTTCACTGTTTATCCAGTAATTTCTTCTGTCACACAAATTTTACTGACATAATATATGCCTAATTATGGGAAAATTTTTACGGGCCCTGAATTTAATTAGTTGTTATTAAAATATTACTTTAATAATTTAATTAATGTTTCAAAAATTTAGGTATGTGTCTATTGTACAAAGTATTTGCTTATTTTCGATATCTGAACAAACTAGTGTAAACATTTATTAAAAATTTTAAAATAGTTTACATATAAAAACATGGTAGACATTATATTTACTGTTTGATAAACGTATCCAAGATGGAGTCGATCAATAAATCAGTTTTGTTGTTTCGGAAACAATTATGTACCTAAACTATCGTGTAGTTGTTTCTAATAAAGCAATTATATTTGTAAATTGTTATATAATGCTTATTTTTAAGACACATTTATTTTATAACTAAAAATGTCGTAATTTATATCTCCTTAGATGCTTTCGCATTTCCAACGTTGCCATATTTCTAATAAATTAAAATAATTTTATTATTATTAATCTAAATCGAGGTCTAAATCTTAATCTTCATTATTTATATCATAATATGTTTAAGATTTATATTTGCGATTTTCACTAGATTCCTGATTTTTTATCCTCTTTTCATCTAAATAAAAAAAAAGCTTCATTGCATTTAAAATTTTCGAGAAAATGGGAACATTGTCAACTTTTTGACATAGAGCACTCTAGAGGCGATAAAATTATTTATTATTGTTATTCATTTTATGCATCTTATGAAACAGGAAAAACTATTTTAAATAACGTCAAAATCATTGAAATCGGTTAAGAAACAAAAAAGTTACATAACATTTATTTGTAAGGGCAAGAAGTCTCTAAATATTTTTTGTATAATCTCATCAAGGTTTCAATTGTATTTCTCGAGATAATCACATGATTATGTTTTCGAGAGTTCGTAGGAGTCCTGTCTCAGCCCGACCAATATAGTTAGACCTGGATCTTATTCAAATACCTATATTTTATTATAATCCATAGACTTTTTAAATTGAAAAATCGGAATGGAATAGAAATTTAAACAAAAATATTTGTGTCGGTTCTAGAGTACATCTAAACCGCCATTTTTAGTCCAATTTTACAAAAAAATAAGTGAAACATTGTATTTCTGTATTAATTTATAAAATAATTGCTTAAACTACAGAATCTTCACCGTCTTTTCTACGCATTTCATGGTTAAGAGTTTTATATTCACTCTGTAGCCTACCAAAGGTCCTAAGCAACTTCTGGATGGGGAAATACCTAAAGAAAAAATAAACTCAATATTTAATGTTCAAGACCAAATTCTTAAAAAAAGATACAATATTTAAATAGCTCCAGAACCTTATAAGAACATTTACTTTACGGCTTATGATGAATCCATGACTACATAAATTCAAATAACTAAATAAAGCAAGAAATTAAAATGTATTTGTCAAATGTGTAATATGTGTAATATGCGTGAACCCAAAAAAAAAGAATAAACTCGTTAACAGATGGCACGGTCAGTCGTTTGCTTGGTACCAAACGAAGGACGATTGCGCAGGATGTTAAACAATGTAGTAAAATCTTAATTTCTACCTTTTAACATACATCATAAAATTAAAAAAATCTGATGTGTCCAACACATGACTTTCCTATCTAGTTATTATAGGCATTTTCCGGTTATTTTGTACAACCTATTGCAGCATCTCTATAAATGTTTAGAGGATAAACTAAATATATACATTTTACACATAGATTTACCTCGAAACATTTTTCTATAGATATTCATTGAAAACGAAAATACTGAAAAATTTAAATTTATCACTTTTCCATTACGGTCCATTTTAGAAAAATCATGTATAAACAAAAATTATAGAAATCGATATCGCAAACAACTTTTAGTTCAACAATTTTCATAAAAATCTGATGTGTCCAACACATGACTTTCCTATCTAGTTATTATAGGCATTTTCCGGTTATTTTGTACAACCTATTGCAGCATCTCTATAAATGTTTAGAGGATAAACTAAATATATACATTTTACACATACATTTACCTCGAAACATTTTTCTATAGATATTCATTGAAAACGAAAATACTGAAAAATTTAAATTTATCACTTTTCCATTACGGTCCATTTTAGAAAAATCATGTATAAACAAAAATTATAGAAATCGATATCGCAAACAACTTTTAGTTCAACAATTTTCATAAAAATCAGAATTTTGCACATTTTGTCAAATTTCTCGAATACGGACCATTTCAGGAAATTTTGACATAAAGCAAAAATTATAAATAATAATATTAGAAGTAACTTTTATTTGAACAATTTTCTTCTCCAAACATAAATAACAGATATATTCCATAAAATATAAAAACGGCCTCTCATAAAGTACCCCCCCCCCCCCAGATGTACCGACTTTGTCCAAAATCTAATCATTTCACGTCAGGCCGAAATAAACCTTAAGTTTAAAATTTATTGTTTTTTTCCTTTATCCGTTTTTGAGTTTTCTTCAAATTTCGAAATTTACACATTTTCTCAAATATCTCGAATACGGTCCATTTTAGAGAAATTATGTATAGGACAAAAATTATAGATAATTATATTAAAAACAACTTTTATTTGAACAATTTTTATAAAAAATATTTTTTTTACATGTTGTCAAATTTCTCGAATACGGACCATTTTAGGAAAATTTTGTATAGAACAAAAATTATAGATAATTATATTAGAAGTAACTTTTATTTGAAAAATGTTCTTCTCCAAACGTAAATAACAGATATATTCTATAAAATATAAAAATGACCACCAATAAAGTACCCCCCCAGATGTTCCGACTCTGCCCAAAATCTAATCAGCTCATTGGACGCTGAAACAAAGCTTAAGTTTAAAATTTGGTGTTTTTATGTGTATCGGTTCATGAGTTATGCGTTATACAGACACACACAGACACACACACACACACACACACACACAGACATCATCGTGAAAATAGTCAAAACGGATTCAGGGGACCTCAAAACGTAAAAATCCGTCGAAAACTCGAAGTCGAAAAAAATCATGATTCCTATACTTTCCTTATATCTGTATACAGATAGGAAAGTAAATATAAATATACATGTGCAACTCCGCACCTATATGTAAACATCAACGTTTTAATGTTAAAACACAGTAGACTTTTACCATTCTTAAAATTAGAAGAAGTTACCTGCTTAACTTTTAGTTAAGATCAATTTATTTACAAAAAAAAAATAAATACATAAAATTTCACTAATAAATATAAATCATAAATCACAAATAAAAAGGACTTTAGTGGTTATTTATTAAAGCTCCCAGACTTGAGGAGGTTTATTTTATTAATCTAAAAATTAAAATATTGAACATAGCCCTTTG